GTTTGAGAGTGCATAAATTGTAGTGCGGGGAGGAGGCAGGGGTTGGGTAGGAAAGGTTGGGGGAGGGGTAAAGGAGGTTTTGTGTGCAAGGGGCTTGGACTTCCAGCAAGCTGCTTGAGCATATTTGAAAGGAATGAATGGAGACAAATGGTTTTAATACTTGATGTGCTGTTGGAGTGGAGCAAAAGTAACATTTATGAGGGGTTCAGGGAAACCGGCAGGCCGGACTTGAGTCCTGGAGATGGGAAGTACAGTGCCTGCACTTGAAGGAGGGGTGTTAATGTTGCAGTTTAAAAACTGTAGTGTAAAGCACCCTTCTGGCAAGACAGTGATGGAGCGAATGATGGTGAAAGTTTTTCTTTTTCGGGCCACCCTGCCTTGGTGGGAATCGGCCAGTGTGATAATAAAATAATAATAAATGTGTTGTTGGAGTGTAAGCAAAGTAACATTTATGAAGGGATTCAGGGAAACCGGCAGGCCGGACTTGAGTCCCGGAGATGGGAAGTACAGTGTCTGCACTCTGAAGGAGGGGTGTTAATGTTGCAGTTTTTATAACTGTAGTGTAAAGCACCTTCTGGCAAGACAGTGATGGAGTGAATGATGAAAGTTTTTCTTTTTCGGGCCACCCTGCCTTGGTGGGAATCGGCCAATGTGTTAATAATAAAATAATAATAATCTGTTAAGTTTCATCTGCCTATTAATCACATTTTGCTTAGTTTGTTTGAACCTTCTTGCAGGGTTTTAAAAGTTTTCCTTTCTATTTTTTTATATTAATTTTTTTTGTATAATCTTCAAACATTGAATTCACAAGTAAGTGAATCCCATGTATCTGCAGTTGTTGGGTCCTGGAGGTCTCTTGTAGTGCTGATTAATTATTTTTAAATCAAATGTATTAATAATTGAATCTATACTTACCAGAGTTAAGCAAACATTTGCAGTTGCCATGTGGCCATGTGCACGTTGGCTGGTCAGTCATTGATGCTTCAGTTGCTCATCACATTCCTTACTATATTAGATGCAACATTCTATATTCTTGGAAAAAATAGGTGACGTCTGCAGTGTACATTATGCAAAATAACCACAGTGAAAAATAGTGATATTCCATGTGCTTCCATGACTTTTCAATGTGGTTACTTTGCATGTTGTGTGATATCACCTGTTTATCGTTATCTTATTGCATCAATGTAGATTATGTTAGATTTTTAATCACTATGGTAAGGAGAATACTTTTAACTGGGTGGAAATATGAAAGCTACCACGTACTAGTACGGAGGGCTCCATTTCTACAGCTGTTATTGTTGCCAACCCCAGGCGATAAGCAAAAATCGCCAGTGAGTGAAAAAGAGCATTTTTTCAATATCATTATGTGTCTAAAACACCTGATAATGTGTTTATATATCATGTATTAAGTGCTCAATACAGCTAGACATAAAAAAATAGATTATAAAGTATAATAAATACACAGTATATACAGTACCTTAAAATATGGCACTGGCCACCCTTCCTTATGTAACTGTTCTGCCAAAAAATGGAAAAAGCACCAAACATAATGGACAACGGTTCAGATGAAAACCCCGACAATGTGGAACAATGAAAAGAGGATGCTGTGTGTGTGAGTAGAAGCACCAATATAAGAGTTTGTTGACCTGGTCAGTGCGAATATCCAAAAGTCAAAGACATGCAGTATTCTTTTTTGAAGTAATAGAAGTAACTGTATTCCATAGCAACTGTTTATTGTCGTGGTCATAATTGAGTAATATAACAATACAAGTTCTAGGAGTATGGAAATGTTATATCTGCATTCTAGCCTCTTTCATTGTTATTTGAATGGGATCATACTTTCTCTGTATTTTGTAACTGAATAATCATTTGCATTTCAGATATTTCTACCAAGAAAAAAATTTAAATGCACACTTTGCAAGAATACACGAGCGAACCAAGATCTACGAGTGTGGCGTGTGCAGCAGACAACTTTCCAGCAAGGTAAATATGTTTCACTGCTTGCTGCCCTCTGCCCTGCACACATTTTTTTTTGAGTATACTTTTCACAATACCATTTATTACCAACTATGAAACTATCTTAGCTTAACTCAGAAAGGGAAAAAGTTGCAATCAGTTTTCATCCCATCTTTTGAGTACATAATGAGCTCTTTCCTGAATCACATAATAATATTAGCACACAAATACCAGCATATCACTGAATAATAACTTTTTTTTTTTCAACAAACTGGGCCGTATCCCACCAAGGCAGGGTGGCCCAAAAAGAAAAACGAAGGTTTTTCTTTTTAAATTTAATAATTTGTACAGGAGAAGGAGTTATTAGCCCCTTGCTCCGGCATTTTAGTCACCTCTTACAACACGCATGTCTTACGGAGGAAGAATTCTCTTCCACTTCCCCATGGAGATAAGAGGAAATAAACAAGAACAAGCGCTAGAAAGAAAGTAGAAGAAAACCCAGAGGGGTGTATATATATATGCTTGTATACATGTATGTGTAAGAAGAAGTAGCAAGACGTACCTGTAATCTTGCATTTTATGAGACAGACAAAAGACACCAGCAATCCTACCATCATGTAAAACAAATACAGGCTTTTATTTTACACTCACATGGCAGGACAGTAGTACCTCCTGAAAAATAATATTTAGTACATAAATACCAGCACATCGTCTAAAGGGGACAAGAAGATACAGACCAGCCAGAGTATGGAAAACTAAAGAGGGGAGCCATAACCTCTCTAGAGAAAGTTTTTTTTTTTTTTTTAGTGCCAGGAAGGAGACAAGACTGGCAAGAAATGACAGAAATATTACACAGACTGAAAACACTTCTAGAGCAGAGGCACAGTCATTGGCCTCCACTCCAGAACAACATATATTAGAGCCACCAAATAAAACCCCCCTAAATTACATCAATATAATGACATTTGTCTTTGCAAACATACAGGGTCTAAAGCCATCAACAAAATTCCTCACATCAAGGGACTGCTCACGGAGTCAAATGCAATGTTTGCAGCTTTCACAGAGACCCGCATAAAGGATCATTTTGACAACAAAATATGGATCCCAGGTTATGACCTTTTCAGATGCGACAGACTAAACAGGCAATGGATGGGGGGAGGTTGGCTTGTATGTCACAGAGTTGCTCATTTGCTGAGAACTACTAAACATCTCAAATGATATAGTAGTTGAAGTTTTGGCGGTAAAGACAGAAAAGAGAAAGGTTTGGTTTTCAATGTTCACTTTCAACTTTCTACCTTTACACACATTTCCAAATTTGTCCACTAACCTTTGCAATTTTTCTTTAGAATCTCCCATAAGCACAGTATCATCAGCAAAAAATAACTGTGTCACTTCCCATTTTGTATTTAATTCCCCTAATTTAATCCCACCCCTCTCCCGAACTCCCTTGCATTTACTTCTTTTACAACCCCATCTATAAATATATTAAACAACCATGGTGACATTACACATCCCTGTCTAAGACCTACTTTTACCGGGAAGTATTTCCCTCTCTTCTACACACCCTAACCTGAGCCTCACTATCCTCATAAAAGCTCTTTACAGCATTTAGTAACTTACCACCTGTTCAATATACTTGCAACATCTGCCACATTGCTCCTCTATCCACTCTATCATATGCCTTTTCTAAATCCATAAATGCAATAAAAACTTCCCTACCTTTATCTAAATACTGTTCACATATATGCTTCAATGTAAACACTTGATCTACACATCCCCTACCCACTCTGAAGCCTCCTTGCTCGTCCGCAATTCTACATTCTGTCTTACCTCTAATTCTTTCAATTAATAACCCTACTGTATACTTTTCCTGGTATACTCAGTAAACTTATTCCTCTATAATTTCTACAATCTCTTTTGTCCCCTTTCCCTTTATATAAAAGGACTATACATGCTCTCCGCCAATCCCTAGGTACCTTCCCCTCTTTCATACATTTATTAAACAAAAGTACCAACCACTCCAACACTATATCCCCCCCCTGCTTTTAACATTTCTGTCATGATCCCATCAGTTCCAGCTGCTTTACCCCCTTTCATTCTACGTAATGCCTCACGTACCTCCACCACACTTACATTCTGCTCTTCTTCACTCCTAAAAGATGGTATACCTCCCTGGCCAGAGCATGAAATTACCGCCTCCCTTTCTTCCTCAACATTTAAAAGTTCCTCAAAATATTCTCGCCATTACCTAATACCTCCCTCTCCCCATCTTACTAATCTTTAATGCAGACTTTAATCCTTGACTGAAACTGACTTCTATTAATGTTGGTAGAATTACCGACAATATGTCAAGTAAAAGGACACAAGTGCAACTAGTGTAACATTTTATTGTGGCAACGTTTCGCTCTCCAGGAGCATACCGACTTGAAAAAGCTCCTGGAGAGTGAAACGTTGCCACAATAAAATGTCACATTAGTTGCACTTGTGTCCTTTTACTGAAACTGACTTATTTTATTACACAGACTGAAACACTCTCCATACTTACTCATACCCACCCACCACGTTATATCTTCTAACATAAGTGTACCCCTTGCCTCTTCACTGCACTGATTGATGGGTTTAGTGATTCTTTATTCTTTTTTTTAACCCTTTGAGGGTTTTGGACGTACTAGTACATCTTACGCGCAGGGGTTTTTGACGTACTAGTACGCACAAATTCTAGAGCCGTCAAATCTCGCGGGAAAAGGCTGGTAGGCCTACATGTGAGAGAATGGGTCTGTGTGGTCGGTGTGCACGGTAGGAAAAAAAATCTGGGACCCAGTGATGCATTGTGGGAACGCCATCTTAGTAAACAATATCCACCATGCCTCGCGGTAAGAAGCTCCTCACTCCTCGGTGAATTGGGACACTTTTGTTCCCCAGTGACAGTTCTAATACAGATGGAAGTGCCAGTGAAGATGAGTTTCAAGGTTTTGGCGAGGTTTTGACCGAAACTAATGACCATAATATCGGTAATAGTGAGGAAAACCCAGACGACCCTCAACCTTGCACCTCTGGTGCTGGGCCGTCTTGTTCACGTTCAGTTGTACCAGAATCCAAGAGGAAACTTCTATTTTCCCAAATCCCAGATTCAGATGAGAGCATGTGTGATGATAGTGATAGTGAATATGAACTACAAGCTCTTCAAACTAGTTCCAGTAGTGATAGTGAAGTGCAATATTCCCCAGTGAAGCGTCAGTATATACGACGATATATGCGCTCTGGTAGTGTGCCATATGCTATTCCAAGGGGAAGGAGTGCATCTCGGAGTACATCCCGTGGCTGTACAACAGAAACAGACAGTGAAAATGACGATGATACTGTTGCAATTGGGATGGAAAATGTGCGTGGTGGTAGTGGTGCCGGCGGTGAGGCACCAGCAGTGGGCCATGCTGCCACCCACGCTGCTGATCTACAACAAAGGCCACCATCCCCCACCCACATACCACACCAGCCTCCACAACCACCTGTCATTGTCCAGTACCCACCAGCAGACCGCACCTGGGATTGGCAGGAAGCTGTCAATTTTGTTCCAAATGCCCACCAGTTTGATGACAGCCAAAGTGGAATACAGCCATCTTGTACACTTGGGAACAATGCCACTGAACTGGAATGTTTCGAGTTATTTTTTGACGAACCACTGATGGAAAGTATTGTCATGGAAAGCAACACATACTACGAGTACACCATGGCAAAACACATTACTTTCACCAAAATCACGTCTACACAGTGGAAGGAGGCAACTGTGGCTGAGATGTATCTTTTCTTTGCCACAATAATGCTTATGCCACATGTGTATAAGCACAAAGTGAAATCATACTGGTCAACAGACTGCCTGATTGCAACCCAGGTTTCAGTGATAATGCCAGTGAATCGATTTGTTCTAATGTTACGTATGCTTCACTTCTCAGACAAAACCAGGCCTGACGGGAAACGACAGGTTATATAAGATTAGGAATGTGTTTGTGTATCTGAAAGAAAAATTCAGTACGCATTTTTATCCCTTCAGGAAGCTTGTAATTGACGAGTCTTTGATTCTGTTTCAAAGGAAGACTTTCTTTCAAGCAGTACATACCAAGCAAGAGGAAGCGCTTTGGTATAAAGTTGTTTGTGCTTTGTGATTGTTACAGTGGTCTGGTATTGGATATTATTGTGTACACTGGAAGTTATACATTGCAAAATACCAGGAAGTTATTGGGCATCTCAGGTGATGTGGTTAGAACAATGATAGAACCATACCTTGGTAAGGGGCATATATTATATACAGATAACTGGTACACAAGCCCCTCACTCAGTGATTTTTTGCGAGTGAACATGACAGATGTGTGTGGCACAGTGCGTGTAAATCGGAAACATATGCCCAGGTTTGACGCTTGCACTCGTAGAGGTGAGGTGCATGGCAGACAGTGGCAGGCAGCATAGAGAGAGCAATGAACCCATTCTAAAACCTGCAGCTGTGATTGATTACACCTTCAACATGCATTCAGTGGACAAATGTGACATGCAGATTGGGTTTGCTGATTGTGTTCGCAAGAGTTATAAGTGGTACATCAAACTGTTTTTCCATCTTCTGGACATTTCCATGCTCAATGCTTATAATATGTATAAGATGAGGACCAGAAACAAACCACAGTATGGCGAATTCTGTTTGTCTGTCATCAGACAAATAGTATTCAAGTACCAAGGAGCAGCACCTGCAATTGACCGCCCACCAAATTATCAACAACTACCTGCTCGTCTGAAGCATGGTGATCACTTCCTGGTAAAATTGCCTGCTACTGCTTTCAAGAAAAAGGCTCAGAAGAGGTGTTACGTCTGTTCACATACAAAAAAAACGCCCACAACAACGCAGAGACACTCGTTTTATGTGTGAGGAATGTAAAACACCACTGTGCATGACACCATGTTTCAAAGAGTTCCACAGGCTGCAGAACTTCTAGAAACATTCCCTGTGACTGTATATGTGTATATAAAATATAGAAAAATAGTAATAAACAACATTCATATCGTTTGTTTGTGTAAATATTTTCTATAAACAAAATAATGACAACAGTGTTTACGCCCTTATTGTGTAGTATTGAAAAAGAAATAACTTACAAAATACTGATCATGTTGGCCTCAGAGGCCATAAAAGTTACTCAGAAAAAGAAAAATTGAAAGTAGTACATAAAAAAATAAATAGAAAAATACCGGGCGACGGCAGTCGGCGATGTTACCAGATGTTCAATTTTGGCAAACTTCACGCCTCCATATCTCGGTAAGTATTGACGGTAAAATTTTTTTGTTTAGCCTATAATGTTTAGAAAAAAAAAAAACTATTTTTTCATAAGAAAAAATAATAATTTTTTTTTTTTTAAATTTGGCCGACCCTGAGAACGAGTTTTAGAGAGGGCCTGTCGACCCTCAAAGGGGTTAATACTACTGGTATGATTTTAGGAAAAAAAAATTGACCATATGGGAGGATGACAGTGTGCCAACTGCTAGCAGTTTAAAAATTAAACCATACATTTATTTCATAAATATTTTTTAATTAACTGTTTTGCACCATTATTACTGAAGCGTTTGCTTTATTTCTTGTAATATTACACTGTTCCATTTAGTTGCACTGAAAACAGTCTTAAATCAGCATTATTTACTCTGTGGTAGTCTAGTGTACAGAAGGATATTTTTCATATTCAGAATGGTCTAATGTGTTTTTTATATTTTGCAGCAAAAGTTAATGTATCACACAAAAACTCATAGCCCAGGCTACAAGCGAAACTACACTTCTATATCAAAAAAGCCTCGAAGAACTCGTAAAGACAAAGGAGTCATGCGTAAAGATATTAATAGCTTTTTGTCTGTCTACTACAGTGATGAGGAATCAAAGGAAACAAACGATACAGAAGATAACTGTAGTGTCCAGGAATCCAAGGATTTAAAAGAAAGCTACAGTGATGAGTACTCTCAGGAAACAAAGAATATTGAAGACATTTATAGTTATGAGGATTTCGGGGAAGAAAATTATCTAGTAGTCAGATATGTTGATTACAAATCCAAGGAAGAAAAAGATTTAGAAGATAATTGTTGTAACAAGGAATCCATAAAAAACAAAGGAATAAGAAGACAAGACAAGACAAAAGAAATATAGTGAGCTATCGGTGTCATGACGACATTGATTTTGGAACAAAATTTACCTCCAGTGTCCAAGTGGAAATGAATGCTCAGCATGAATGCCATGCAGGTAGTGAAGGAAATATAACTTCTTTCATATTCTGATTTACTTAGTTTTTATTCTGGGTAAGTTGATGTTCGTAATATTCTGAAATATTTTGTACCTGCATCGTTCTCTATATAAAAATTTTGAATGGAACTGCAGCATTATTCATAGACAGGAAGGTTATTAAATATATTCAGTATTTAGAGTTTTGAAACTATATATGTATCGTGGTTATTTTGTTTTAGAAAAAAAAAAATAATAAGTGTTTGAGTTACAGGACAGCATTTTAGTTCTTGAATGAAATTCATGCAGACTGAGCTATGAGAAAAAAATTTCTATGTTAGTTGGTGTGATCAGTGATTACTTAGAAAAGTTATTGTAAATGTTTGTAAGTTAACTCCTACATATACAACTCTTGGTTGCAGATGATGCCGAAATAATGAGGAGAATAAAAACTGAAGAGGGTTGCAAGTAAGAAGCTGGAAATGAGGAAGGGGACAGTGATAACAGTACAATTTATGGGTGAAAAACTCAAACAGCTGAAGAAAGACATCCTTAACCCTTTCACCATCTCCCATGTAGATATATGATGCCAGTGTTGCTTGCATCATCTATATAGTGCTCTCAAATATGATCTTGAACAGTAAATTTTACCTGAGACATGAGAAAATGGGTCTGTGTGGTGGGTTCCCTTGAAAGGGAGTCCCTCGTCGAGGTGAAGAGGCTCTTGATCCAAGGAATTGGACCCCTTGTCTCCTTCCTTGGATCAAATCTAATTGATCCCACCCCTCCCTACCTCTTACTTACCTTCCCTTCTCCTACCCATCCATTTTTGGGGTATTCTTGTAAATTATAGCTCATAGGTTGAGGGAAAGAAAACTATCATCTGTCTCATTCTATCGAGGACTTCAGTCAGTGGCAATTGGATCATCTAGGAATGCGTTGAGCTGCTCTCTGGAGTTCTGGTCGGTGGTTTTGCGTGTCAAGTGATAAAATATTCCTAGAGGCTGCCTGTCCTGTTGGTTCTGGGAGGTGGCAGCCTAACGGGGTATGACTCTTGGCAAATGTTCGACTACCCATACCTCTTGCTGGCTGAGGTGGCTTGGTTGATGCTCAAGGAGCCATCCTGGTCTGTTGGTTTACTGGCATGAAGAGTGAGGCAGAGAGCAGTTTCCATACAACATCAGAACTGCAAGCCATGCCAAGGGTACTCTATGGATACAGAGTGGGATTATACATAGTCACTTTTTTGGGTGTCCCTTGAGCTGCCCTTATTTCCTCCCCTTACCTCCCCACCCTTTGTTAAATTTTTAAGGGAAAAATAAACCTTAATCATGGACGATCATATCCCTGATTTGCCTTCTGGGTCCCTTCTTTTCCCAGTAGCACCCTTAACTTTCACAGTCTCCCTCGTAGATTTACAATATTGATACTCTCTCTCACTTTAATGTGTGTTTTAACACACCGCCCTCAAATGTGCTGCTAGTGGTAAATTTTGGTCTAGATATGAGAAGATGGGTCTGTGCAGTGAGTATGCACAGTATTAAAAATTCCTACCTTGTGCATTGCAAGATCATAAAAGTAAACCTCTTGCCTTTTGTTTGGTTAAAATAATACTGAGGTGTTTTCTTGGATTGTTTTTATGGTTTTATCGACTCTTTTGGTATCATTTGTCAGATGGAAAACATATTAGTGAACTGAAGATGATTTTGATCAGTTTCAGGACAGGAAGTAGCTCGAAATAGCGCTCAGAGTACAGGAGGTCCCTGTTCGTATGTCTCTAAGGTTTGCAATCCCAAACAATAAGTGAAAATCACCAGCAGGTGGAAAAAGTTATTTTTTTTTTTATCATTGGATGCATCTAAAACACCTGATAACATTTACAGTATCCTATATTACGTGCTCAGTACAGCTAGGCATAAAAAACAAAGAAAAAAGTAAAATAAATACACAGTACATATAATACTTTAAGATAAGGCATGGGTCGTTCTTCCCTTACACAACTCTTATACGAAAATGGTGATAATGGGAGACAAGCGGTAAAAGCACAGAAACATAATGAGCAGTGGCTGACTTGACAGCCATCATAAACATGAAACACTGAAAAGAGGGAGTTGTACACATGGGGCCCTCCTGTAGCTGAAATATTAGATTTTTACTAGGTCTGCTTCAGTTTTTGTGATGGTCTATACAGTGGACCCTCGACTAACAATATTAATTGGTACCCGAGAACGATTATCGTTAGTCGAGTTTTTGTAACATTAGTCGAGGCAACATGTTAGCGTTAACGTATCGTTGGTCGAATTTAACGTTAGTCGATGCCAACGTTGGTCGAGGGTCCACTGTACTATGATTGATCAATCTTGGTTATGTTTTATGAGAACTTTGGTTAAAACATTGATTTCTTATATGATGGATTCAAAATGGGGGCAAGTCTTATGTAGGAGAGGCCTGAGGACATAATTAATGAACAGAGGACAAGTTTCTTTAGTGGCGGGAAATGCCTTCAGTGTTTATTTTGGACTCGGGTTTTTAAACTGAAATGATCACGACATACAAAATACTATGGAGCATAGACAGTTATAGTTTCATCATCTAGGATACCAAAACGAACAAAGTGGCAAGATTGAAAATTACACATATTGGCCACAGGAATATAAGAAATATTCCCCAAACACAGGACTAATAAAGAAGTGGAATGAGCCAAGCAATGTTCAGAAGCAAACTCCATTGAAGGGATCAGAATTAAATATGATAGGGGTTTAATTATGCAAGTTCATTGGAAGTTGAGGCAGGCCAAGAGCTGGAAAGGCATCCTTTTCCAAATAGATATATAATTATTGCACAATATTCTGAAAGATCTATTTTATATGTTACTATATATTTGACCTTACAGATGACTAATTTTGTCTTACCACAATGTAACATTTTTTTGTTTGTCATATCAGCAATATATACTCACAATAAAATACTGTAGAGTATGTAGGTTTAAATCTGAAGGTGTAGTACACGTACACCAGTCTTGATCCTGGTGGAACTCGTATTGTGAACGCTATCTCAGAGTAGACAAAAGATAATGCAAAAGAAAATTTATTATAATACTAAACTCTGTACAGTATTGTATTAATGTTGGTAGAATTACAACAATATGTTAGGTAAAAAGACATAAGTGCAACTAATGTGACATTTTATTGTGGCAACGTTTTGATGTAGTAATATTAGTTGTAATAGTACTACTACTACTACAATTAATATTACTACTATCACTAGTATTACATCTCACTCTAAGCCTATATATACCCTCTGCGTCTATATACTGTTTGTAACGGCTTGATGAAGCTCCTGTAGAGCGAAACGTTGCCACAATAAAAATGTCCCATTAGTTGCACTTGTGTCCTTTTACCTCTGTACAATATTACAAAGCATAGAATATTATTATTTATGAAAATCTTATAGCCTTGCAGAAAATTTATAAATGCTTAGGTTAAGCTGACAGAGTACAATTTTAATTAATTACACGTCCTCCTTGCTTTATGTAGTAGATGCAGTGCTGGTCCATGACCTCATAACCCCAGCTAATACAACATAGGGATTCATTCTCAGATCCTGTAAAGTCCACGTTTGTTTACCAAAAAATAGGAGTTTACCATTCGTGTATAAAATGGTCATAGTCAAATACAGTAAACTCTCAATATGATGGACTTTTAAAAGTATGGGTAAAATCTCCTGGGTAAATTGTACTTTTAATTATTTATGTTCAAAGTTGATTTATCAGTAAATTGTATTTACAGTATTATAATAGCTATAGAGTACTTTAGTGCATTTTTTGCTATTTTTAGCATTATTATGATACATCGGACATGCCCTATTACCTCTTTATATAAAGTGTTTACGGGTAAATAAAAGTTTTTGGGGTTTGGGAAAAAACAGAAGAAATTTAAAAAATTTTAAAATTGTAACCCCCTATACAATCCCAAAATCAGGAAAAAAACCCCTTTTTTTTTTTTTTTTTTTTTTTTTTGGCCAAAAATTTTTTTTAAAAATGCCAATACCAGATAGGCCCCAAAATGGTCTGTTCCCAAAAAAAATAAATGCAGTTAGTCAAAAACAAATGAGAAAAATTTTTGAAACAATCAAGTCAGGGTTGCCTCCCCCCCCACTCCCTCCCAACCGGGCTGGAAAAAAAGTGCCCCATGTTTTGAACCTGTGAATGTACATCTCCCTTTACTACAGATGTTTCTTGTTTTTACAGTGGTTTAAACTTGTGATATTTCATTTTGATTTTCGTGGAGATGCACATTCAGTTGCATTTTTCCTATAAATAAAATTTTTTTTTTTTTTTTTTTTTTCAAAAAGTCGGCGTCCCACCCCCGGGGGGTGACCCAAAAAAAAAGAAAACCCCAAAAAAAGAAAATACTTTCATTTTCATTCAAACTTTAACCACAATCACAATTATCACTGTTTTTGCAGAGGTGCCCCGAATAAACATTTTTAAGAAGATACACTTATAAAGTTACCAACATATCCCTCCAAATCCCAAATATCCCAAACCCCCCCTTTAAAGTGCAGGCATTTTTATTCCCATTTCCAGGATCAAGTCCAACTATATGAAAATAACCCGGTTTTCCCCTGAATCCCTTCACAAAATTTTCCTGTCACACTCCAAAAAGACGTCAGGTCCCAAGTATCTTTGCCCTCCATTCATCCTTTTTAAACGCTCATGACGCTTGCGGGGAAGCCAACCCCCTTCCCCCAAAAAACCCTCCTTTCCCCCCTTTTCCCAAAACCCTTTCAGGGGGGCCCCCTACCCCTCCTTTCCCTTTCCCCCCTATAATTTATATGCTTTCCATGTCTTTTATTTGACCTTTTTCCCCCAAAAAAAAAAATTGACCAAACCCCCTTTCAAAAAAACCCCTTTCTGCCCTCTGACTAATGTTTTTTTTAAACTCCCACCTTCTCCTAATCCCCACCCCTCCGAATTTTCTGCAAATTTATTTAAAACCACACATTGCCCTTAGACAGGACATCTCCCTCCCAAAAACCGTCTCCTCGCTGCTGCATTTACCCCCAAAGCTTCACCCTTAAGAGTTTTGGGTTTACAAACCCTTTATTTTCTTTCCTTTTCCCTTCCCTTTCCCTCCATTGTAACGTTTTTTGATCACATATACCTAACGCCCCACTCCCCTTTTTTTCCCTCATCAATTCTAAAAACATTCACTTCTTCCATACTCCTCCCCCCCAATTTGATACCCAAAATTTTTTTTTAAATCTAAATCATTTGTTACCCTCACCCCTTATCTTTTCAAAGTTAAATTTTTTAATTTTCCTTTTAACCCCACATTTAAAAACCCCAACCCATAAACCTTTGAAAATTTTTCCCCCTTTCCCCCCTCCCCCCCCCCTTTGCACAGTATCATCACCCAAAAAGAAACCCCGGTGTCATTTCCCCCTTTTTGGAATTTGTTTTCCCCTTAATTTAATCCCCCCCCTCTCCGCACCCAGCCTTTCTTTTAAAACCCCCATTTTATAAATATTTTTAAACAAAAATGGTGACATTCCCAAAATTCCCTGTCTAAGACCTCCCTTTTCCCGGGAAGTTTTTCCCCTTTTTTCTACATACCCTAACCGGAGCCCCCTTACCCTCAAAAAAAGCTTTTACGCTTTTTAGTAACTTACCCCCTTTTTCCCCATATTTGCAACTTCTCCCACTTTGGCTCCTTTATCCATTTCTATCTTTGCCTTTTTAAATCCATAAATGAAATTTGAAAATTTCCCCTTTCCCTTTATCTAAATACTGTTCCATATATGCTTAAATTTTAAACACTTGATTCCCACCCCCCCTTTCCCCACTCTAAAGGCTACCCTCATCCGCATCCTCCCTTCCGTCTTCCCTCTAATTTTTCTTTTTAAAACCCCTTTTCCCGTATTCTTTTCCTGGTTACTCAGTAAACTTTTTCCCTTTCTATAATTTTTACAATCTCTTTTGCCCCCCTTCCCCTTTTTTTAAGGGGGGCTAAAACATGCTCTCCCCCAACCCCTTTAGGTCCCTTCCCCCTTTCATACATTTATTAAAAAAAAATTTCCCAACATTTCCAAAACTATCCCCCCCCCTGCTTTTAACATTTCGTCTTGATCGAATCAG